AGAGGAAGGAAGAAAGGAAAAGTTTATTTCCCCAAGAATTTTTTTTTATTCTTAGGTAAAGTCCAAGCTGCTGGAGAAACACGGTTCCTGCAGGGCAATGTGTAACACAAACCCTTCCCAGGTTATTTTAGACCTGGCACATTGGCACCCTGAGAACGGTGGCCGAGAGCCCAGCTTGTGGGTTTATTGGTGAAAGTGGGGATTCCTTAGGAAGCAGGAAGGGGGTGGGGGGGGGGAGAGAGAAAAGAGCAGAGCTATTTTGTTTTACCACCCTCCTAAAGCCACCCCAAGCCTCTGCTCCGCGCCTTCATTGTCAGAGAGCGATGTGGGGAATATGCCCTCTGTACTGAGGATCCCATGCGTTTGTGGCACATTCCTCCTCGCCCCCCTCCCTCAGCTCATTAGCCTGTAAGTACTGGATATTGAGAGCACGTTTCTGGGGCCGTGGGCGCACTTCCATGGCACCGTGGATTTTCTCCGACTTACAAGTGGACTTCACATAATTGAACTATTCTGTCTAGGAGTGGTGCTGGGGCGGGGACAGGGGTGTACTGGGGTGGCACTCATTTTTATTAATCTCATATTAAGACGTTTACTTCCAGTGTTTGCTAATGATTCGCCTCCTCTCCCCTCATACCGAGTTTATGCTTGCTGGACTGTGGGTCGCACCTCTTTTTTAGAAAGTTAAACTTTTAGCAAGACCATTCTGCTGCTGCTTTGCATTTCAGGGCAATAAATTCCGGAGCAAATGGTAAACGCTCTTCTATGATCTTTAGCTGATGTCTATAATTATACCTAAATTACAGACCCTCTGTAGTCACAGCCATGGCAATAGAGTGTGTTAGCGTAAACACACCCGCGGGCGGGTGTATACACACACACAGCTCCCCGGGTCGCACACGCGTGTGCGTGTGTCTGCGCGTGTGTGTGGGTGCACAGGCTCTCCACAGGCAGCGAGGAGACACTACTCAGCTATTCACGTGCGTGCTATCTACTTCGCTGTCCCTAGGTCCACCTTAAAGCCTCTTTGTGTCCCATTTTCCCCACCACCGTACCGGCGCTGCACATCCGCGTTTGCAGCTGGTCAGGCAGGAGAAAAGAAAAAGGGGAGTTGTCTGCGCGTGTGTGTGGGTGCACAGGCTCTCCACAGGCAGCGAGGAGACACTACTCAGCTATTCACGTGCGTGCTATCTACTTCGCTGTCCCTAGGTCCACCTTAAAGCCTCTTTGTGTCCCATTTTCCCCACCACCGTACCGGCGCTGCACATCCGCGTTTGCAGCTGGTCAGGCAGGAGAAAAGAAAAAGGGGAGTTGGGGGGGGGGAGATGAAGCCTCCAGGAAACCAGTGCAGCCCCCCCACCCCCTTTGATTGTGCCTGCAAAAGGAAGCAGAATATACAAACCGAGCTTTCTGGGCTGAATCTGTCCAATGCGATCGTTTTGTCTTTACTTCTACAGGTACAGTATATGGAACTCATGGGAGACGAGGGAGGCAGACTTACACCAGATACCAAACGCTAGAGTTAGAGAAGGAATTTCATTTTAACAGATACTTAACCCGAAGACGACGTATTGAGATTGCAAACGCTCTCTGCCTTACTGAACGCCAGATTAAAATATGGTTTCAAAACAGGCGGATGAAATGGAAAAAGGAAAACAAATTCATAAATTCCACACAGCCCAGCAGCGAAGAAACAGAGGAAAAGTCAGGGGAGTAGAGCCACGTTTAATAAACGCTACCAGGCCTTTCCTTAGTGCTTACTATTACTATTATTATTTACGTCGTGTTCCTTCTGCTACTAAAATACTATAGGTTTGTCACAGTCTATTAATTCCCAGAAGGCTTGGTTAAGAGATGTACATTTGCAATCAACTGTGACTTTCTTTAATATATGTGGAAGTCCTGGCTTTCTAGCTACAGGCGTGCATGTATATAGCCACCTTTCCAAATCATAGATGGTACTGCTTAAAATGGCCCAGATTTTTGAATATTTGAAGTGAGCGTCTGTGTATGGGTGAGTGTCCCTGGCGTGCCTGTGTGAGAAGACATAAGTGAGCGATTTTTTTTTTTTTTTAAACCAGGAATGTTCATATTATAGAAATACGAGAGATTTTAGAAAATCTTTGGTTTATGTTTTTACTAACTCCCGCTCCATCGGGCTGTCTTGTTATGCTGTACTTGGAAGCTTAGGGTCTACAGGAGGAAAAAAAAAAGTTTTACACATGTATAAGATATTTAAATACTAAAAAGGAGAAAAATTCTTTTAAAAAATCGTTGTATAAACCCCTGGATATAAACTTGCAGTTAAAGCGAAGATTAATTGCAGGGAGATTTTTTAAATGCCGCTAAGCTGCCTAAACTGCACTGTTAGTATTAAAGTAAAAACTCAGCGTTAAACTTCAGGGGAAGCGAAGGAAGAGACTTTGAAGCAGGTGAACTTCTGTGGTTCCCTTTTAGCTTACACTGAGGTTTTGGTGAGCTCAGCTCTACACTGAAGGGGCTTTGAATTATGGACTACATTTCTTGGGTCTTTGTAGTCGATTTTTCTTTCTTTTCTTTTCTTTCTTTATTTCTTATTAAAAGAAAAGTGTCTCATATTAACTCGGGGATATTCTTCCTCGGTTTTGTGGTATCTTAATGCACATTGGCGTTTCTTAGCACTGGAAAAAATTAAACTCCCTGCCATAAAATGCTTCCACTTCGAGTTCTGTGTAAGTAAAATAAGTGCAGCGAAAATATTGATTAATATATATGTTACATATCTCTATACTATATTGTGTGTGCATGAGTGTGTATGTGAAGCTGTGTGCAAATACACTTGTATGCGCATCAAGTCTCTTTTGTCTGGAAGGCAGCGCGATTTGGGCTACCGCTCTAAATATTTTAAAAGCCAAATCTGGTAAATACTACTGCAAAATGGCTACCGCCGCATTTAGAGGTTTGGTGTTTTTTTTTTTTCCCCGAGAGGCGGAAAAATAGCGGCGGCAGTGAAGCCGTTTGGAATTTGACCCCCTAGT